GGCGGTGGAGTTATGCCAATAGGAGAGCCAAAGGGAAGGGGGACCCCTAATCGCACTCATCCCCTTTGCTGCTCCCATGAATCCCGCCTCCACACTCTCTTTGCCTGTTGTTGTTAGGATTGAGCACTTCTATTCCAGTAGCACCCAGAGGCCCCAGCCAAGATCAGGGCCCCACTGGGCTGGGTGTTGTGCATGCATTTAATAAATGACCAGACTTCACCCCAAACTCAAGACCGCAAACAAGCTAAGCTTCCCCTGCCCTTGTCTTCATGCCAGCTCCCACGCTGCACCCTCTGGAATCCCCTCCTTATCCCTGCCTGCTGGCTGCTAACCCTCTCCTGTTCCAAATTCCTCAAAAGCTGCAACCCCACCGTTTGCTTGTCATTTAAAAATGGGGGCTAGAGAAGTAAAAAAAGAGAGAAAAAGCTAAATCAAAGCAACCCCTGGCCCAAACAAACAGGAAGCTATTCAGGCGAGGGTTCAAGGAAGAGGCATTGAGGGAGAGCACAACTCCCCCTCCTTTACTCAAAGCACAGGAAGGGCTTCTCCTCCCCTTTCTGGTTTGGGAGAGTGAGAGCAGGAGGGAGCATCCCTTCTACCTTGTGTCTCCTAAGAATTTCTGCTCCTGTTTCAATCTGCTTTAAACCCTGTGTGTGACTGAACTTTCCTCTAGGCGTCCTGGTGTGTTTCACAGGGCAGGGACCATGTCTTCTGTATACTGTCTTCCAAGCATAATTAGGTCTCAGGAACCTTGCAAATTGCAACATCTAGCATTACCCTGTCTGCTTGTCTGTCTGCCCTTAGCTTGTGAGCTCCTCAGAGCAGGGACCATCCTTAAGCATTTGGAAAGTGCCTAGCACATAATGGGTGATACTGCACACGGAAAATAACTCTGTCCAGCCTCCCTGGATGGCAGGGAATAGGACTGTGTGGTGTCTTGAGGACTGTGTTGGAATTGGAAGCTGTCACTTGGAGTGGCTGTGGTGGGGTGGCAATCCTAGTCCGGCTTGCGGGCTCAAGGACTCTGTAAGAAAGCATGCAGCCACAGAGTCAGTTCTGGAAAGATCCAGCTTAAAGCACGGTGAGGTGAGTTGTGCCTGGGTGCCTTAGAGAGCAGCCTGTTTTCTCTCTTTCTGGTTTTAGGTTCTTGTGTGTTATCGTTCTGAATGATAAGAAATAAAATAGTGTTATGTTGGAACCTTCCAGCAAGAGTATTTGTTTTTATCTAATTTCTCAGTATGTGTGCTGAGAGCATAACAGACTATTGCAGTTCTTTCTTTCCTAAGTGAATAAAGTAGGCTGAGTCTCTGTATAAATGCTCTGACAGACCTGTGACCATTGAATGAAGAAACACATGTACAAATAAATACTATTTTGAGTGGGGGGGGAAATGTTGGCAAATGTTGGTGTTTCCGGGCTCCAGTCTGTGATAGGGCTGGATTAGGACTGGGCTACTTGGACATAAGAAGAGATAAAAACTCACCTGAACTGAGTAGCCAGCATCTTCTTGTGTTTCTATACATAGTAAATCATACAGCAAAACTCCCAGGCCCAGCTAGAGGGAGAAGTTCTCTCTCAGCTCTGACATACTCTGAGTGTTCTCATTCACAGTGGTGAATCAGCTGGTAAATACACATTAAGGCCTTCTGTATGCTAGTAATGACTATTTCCAGTGGTGTTGTTTTTACAGTATGAAAAACACAGAAATATGCACATTTTAACTAGCGCTGGTCTCAAGGCTGCAAGATCGAGGATTTGAATGGTCACACATTCAGCAGCACTGATATGCACAGTTTTGGTTTAGAGCTATCTTTAATTGTAGCCAATGGGATTGCAGTATGCAAATTAGTTAGAGTCAATTGTAGGAGGACTGGCCGAGTTGCCTCTGATGTCACAATCCCACCTCCTGTTCTCCCTAATGTACTTAACTTTCTTGATATTTAAACAAAAGTTTTAAAAGATCCTTTCTGGTTTATGTAATTAATTTTTACTTAATTATTGTTCATATTACGGTGCTGCCAAGAGGCCGCAACTAAGATCAGCACCGCGCTGTGCTAGGTGCTATAGAAACACACATGTTCAAAGATTATAAAGCCTCGAGTGACCCCTGTGATCACCTAGTCTGGTCTTCTTTATAATACAGGCCATAGGACTTCTCTGAATTAATTCTTGTTGCACTGGAGCGTATCTTTTAGAAAAAGCATAGTAAGAGATAGCGCCCGTCCCAAAGAGTTTACATCTAATTAGACAAGATTGACAAAATAAGGCAGACAGGCAATATTATTATCCCCATTGTACAGATGAGGAAATGAAGCATAGAGAAATTCAGTGACTCTCCCGAGACCACATAGAAAGTTGACCCCCCCCATCTCCTGGATGCTAGTCCAGTGCCTTAAAAAAAGAACATCTCTTCAAGTTAGCATGTTATCAAAACAGGGCAGGAAGATGCAGGGAAGTTCTAACAAAAACAGGATTTTTGTTGTTGTTGAAGATCTTGCGTTTATCCTCAATAATTAAAAACACGATAGAAGGCAATCTTGAGATGTGGTACATAGAGTTAAAAAAAGTGACCGATGCCCTGCAGTTAAGGTTGCCTCAAAAATTAGTTCCCAAATTTTCTTGTTTTTTCTTTCAGTCTTGGAAGGGGGTTCAGCTCATTAACCAAACCACTGAAGTGAACATTAGATTCGAAGGATGTGCCCCAGGGCTGCAGTCAGGGTTATATGTGCTGCTTAGATAATATATGGTGCTCTGTCAGTGGGTGTCTGAAATCTGCACAGAGTCCCAGTTCAGAACTGGAGTTGAGGGGGATAAAAGGGAGGGGGAAACATTATGACATTTAATTTTTTTTAAATTCCTGTTGGATTTTTTTTCTTGAAATTCAAAATTTTGAAATATTTTGTCAATAAACAGGGGAAACGGTTGTGAAAACATTTTTTTCCTGTTTGTATTTCAAAGTTTGAAATGCTGAATTAAATCCACTTTGTGACATTTGAAAAATGTTGACCAGATCACACCAATGTCGCTGTTTTTCCAGTCACCCCACCCACCTGGGGCTCCCATCCAGTCTCTGTCTGCCAATGACACTCGACAAAAACAAAACCCTCTTAGCTGGAGGGTTTCACTGTGCAAAGGGGACACAATTGGAGGACAGCATTACCCTTACATGAGGGTTGAGGGGAACAGTGCTGCAGAGAATGGCCCCACACCTATCCTTCCTTGCCCCATGGAGCTTGAACCCCACGGATTCCATGGTGTCAGAGAAAAAGGGATGGATCTTCCCATTGCAGGCCCTTCAGTTTGTGGAAGCAGAGCTGATGATGGGGTTTATTGCACCTTCTTAGGATGTAAGAGGATTTTTATATCCTGTGAATGGATGCTGGTTAGATTCATACGTGGGCTCCTGTTTTCTACGTACACATCGTAGGTGGGCTCCCGTGTTCTACACACACATGCTCACACCAGACATGGGTTTGTTTAGGATTAAACACTTTTCTCCACCAAACCCTTTTTGAAATAGTCCCTCCTGGGCACATAAAAGCTGGGCCCTGATTGGCTCTGCACATTCTATTTTGGAGCCCAAAGCAGTGTCTGATTGGCCGAGTTGCCTCTTATGTCACTATCCCATTGCCATCACAAAATACTTTGACTTTGTTCTCGTGGTTACAGCGAGGTTCGTGGAATGCTCTCCTTCTGCGTAAGCTCGTGCCTTGGCTCCCTGCGTACAACTGAGAATATTTATATTTAATCATTCCTCTCTTTTATGTAGATGCATGTATGTTTCTATGCACAGTCTATTTTTGTAAAACTTCCCTAAATTAAATAAGTGTTCAGTGTTTACTGCCATCTAATCAGCTACTCAGAGGGTAGGTTGAAGTTCGATATTTAGTCTTGATTTTCAGCTATGGTGGTTAAAAATACATTAAATGAGAATTTTGTCTTGGATGTGTCTTCACACTGTCTCCCTCTACACATTTCACTGCTGCTTCTGTATTTCCCACCTTTTGTGACTGGGTTTTCACCACATAGCCTAGAAACATATGTCAGCGAGAGCATTTGTGTACTTGTCTGAATGCATTTAAAATATTTTGCCATTAGAAAGCGTGCGTGGTCTCTTTGCCTTGAAAACATGTTGCTGTGGTTCTGATGTGGGTTGAACTATCTCATGTTTATGGAAGATGACAAAACAAAGCTGTTTACAGTGTGGGATCCAAGACATGATGATGCTAGAGCGTTTGTCACCCAGGAGCGTGCTAGAGAAAACCTGGACCAAAATAATGGTATTTTGTGTGTATTCATATTTCAGATGTGCTATTAAAAGACAGAACAGAATAATCTGTCTGTCTGTCTGTTCCAGGGGCTGACAAACTCTTTGATTGTTATTTGAATTGCAGGAGTACCTTTGATACCCCCATAGGAAATTGGGTGCACATTGTAGTCAGCGTAGTAAGAGACGGACCTTTCCCTAAAGAGCTTCATGGTATGGAGCACATCTAAATAGAGAGAGAATCTCTGGGGCCATCTTTCTTTAGCAATTAATCAGACCACCTCCCCTTCCAGTCAAGATCCAATTCTCAACGATGCGATGTATCGAGGGCATTACAGCAAATATTTGTGTACAGTACAGCTGGCTCCTCCTCTTTGTTTCCAGCTGCTTCTGTACAGTCGAGATTCTTCTTTGCAATGAATATCTGAGATGCTGGTAGAAGCCGATGAAACAAGGAGCAAGAACCAGCATCATGAGACCAGCCAGTTTGCTGTAGATCACTAGCAAGTGCTCTGCAGACCAGGGGTTTGGGAACGGCTGATCTAATCTATGCATCTAGGTTTTTGTACCATGCCCATCATTATGGTATCTGAGCTTGACAGCAAATGCAGTGGATCAGGTGAAGGGGTTGGGATTCGCCACTACTACCGTGTGTATTGTGTTTGAACATGTGTGTTTCAATTAAATGTTGGTATTTATACTCCACCTCTTCCTCCTCTCTTTCCTGGTCTAGGTTGCATGGTTGGTCCCTGGAAATGGGATGTCAATCCCATTCAGGGAGCATAAAGGAAGACAGAGAATCTCCTAGTTGCTGCTGCAACAGTAAGTGAGACCCAGAGATAGGAAAATGTCGACTGTCACATCAGCGATACAGGCTCCACAGGGCCCTGTCAATCCACCCCCCCCAGAAGTCACCAACCCCAACAAGCCTGGGCGGAAGACCAATCAGTTGCAGTACATGCAAAATGTTGTGGTGAAGACCTTGTGGAAGCATCAGTTTGCTTGGCCCTTCTACCAACCCGTCGATGCAATTAAATTGAATTTACCAGTAAGTATTCTGTTTCCTTTGCTATGTGTCCTCTGCCAGGAGAGCTCTGTTTTAGCGATGTGCAATTTCTGCTCATGTGAAGTGAAATGTTGTTAGGTTCCTTCTGATTCCCCACCTCCCCAGAGTTGCCGTGCTGAGCACTGGCCCCTGCATAGCGAAACGAGTGGGGTAGTCATTCGTTTCCCAGTACCCTGAATATCAGACGACCTTTCACAGACCTGACTTCTTCGTAACTAGTAGAAGTTACGTTAACTCTGGTCCATTATTAGTTGGATTTTTTTTTTTTAATTTTCTTTTTTGGTTTTGTTTATTAAGAAGCTCCTCAGGCCTCTGCTATTTTTGAGTTTTTGTTGTAGATTAGAACGTTACCTTAATAGCTTCTGACGTATGCTCAAAGAAAGAGCATAAGGACTGCTTTTTGGAATTATGCAATGGGTTTTCCAAGAGCAGAAGGTGTCCCTGAAATCTTTGGGTCAGGAATAGGAGCTGGAACACTAAAGAACTGAAATAGTGTTTTCACTTAATGTCACACTCTCTTAACTTTGGCTTGGTCTGCACAAGAAAGGTCATCGCAGCATCTACAGCTGCCTGGTTAGGCACCAGTTAAAGCGGAAGCCCTTGGAAAGCAGTATTTCAGGAAGCGGCACCGAACTGTTTGCTAATGTTCATCAGCTGATGCTGTGACCCTTCCTTCTAATGCCCACTTTTGAAGTGTTACCCATTTCAGAGGCAATCCTTAAAGTAAGCTGGTAACACAGCTTTATGAAGTTCAGCGGATCCATTTTAAGATCATGTCTATGCTACAACTAATACGATTGTCCCCAATTTTGGCTGCAGAAATGGCCCCAGTTTCTAGCATCCACTGGATCACAGGTGTATTCAAAAATGAATTAGATAAGTTCATGGAAGATAGGTCCAATTAGCCAACATGATCAGGGAGGCAACTCCATGCTCTGCATGTCCCCAAACCTCTGACTGCCAGAAGCTGGGACTGGATGACAGGGGATGGATCACTTGATAATTGCCCTCTTCTGTTTATTCCTTCTGAAGCATCTGACACCGGCCACTATCAGAAGACAGGTTTCTGGGCTAGATGAACCATTGGTCTGACCCAGTGTGACCGTTTTATGTTCTTATGTGTTTGGTCTAGCGACAGAAGATGACATTATTCCATTCTGTGCTATAAACCAAAACTACGTTTATAACCAGGTTAGGGGGACAGCTGGGTTGAAACCATGTTCCATGGAAAGCTGGTTGAAAAACCTGTTTTTCCCCCGTCAGGTACAACATGTTTGGGGCAAACTTGATTTTTTTTTTTTACGTTGATAGTGTCTGTTTATGTGTGGATCTTTCCGCATGTCTGAGAAATTCTGCGGTTTGTGAACAAAGCACCTTTTTTAATAAAATTAAGAGTGGGTTCAAATCTCCCCACTGAGGAGTCAGTGAAAGCATAGGTTATTTTGGCAGTCTGAGCAGAGAATGGAAGTGTTTCTGTGTGTGATGAAAGGGAGGCTGGGAACGGAGGAAGATGCTCTTTAGCAGCTGGCTAACAAGCCTGTGAACACAGGTCCAAAGCACTGTTGCGTGTAACATCTTTACTGTTTCTTGAACAGGATTATCACAAAATAATCAAAAACCCGATGGACATGGGGACAATTAAGAAGCGACTGGAACATAACTATTACTGGAGTGCCAGTGAATGCATGCAGGATTTCAACACAATGTTTACAAATTGTTACATTTACAACAAGGTAAAGAATGCAGACAAACTCATAGTGTAGCACTGAATAGGGAAGCCTGCGAGTGGCTATTTCACTGCAGCTTTTGACTAGGGATAACTTGTGCGCAAAGCCCTCTTTGCAACGACATGCAATGCCATTAATGGTAACCACATTACTTTTAAATGTACAAAGCTGTCTTTGTGTTGCATGTTACTTTGCCCACGCTGGTTAAAATGGCAAACGTGTTCTTAACTGTAGGTAGAATTTCTATCTTGGAGTTACGCAGCGAGTCAGCCGAGACTTCAGCCCTTTAATTTCACTGAGGAATTCTTTCAGATTAGCTAATGTTTGCACAACGCTTTGTAGATGTTAAGTGGAATATAAGTGCTAAGTGTTATTCTCTTTGTCCAGTAGTAACTAATATCAGATACTCCTCTCAGCAGCAGAGGGCAGGTAAATAACTCCTATCATTATATCCACTGTCCATGCCTCATGCGTTCTTCCATAAATCTCTCGTGCACTTTGTTGGTTGCTTATATATGCTTTTTTTTTTTTTTTTTTTTTTGGCTTTAAAGTGCTTTTTATTCCTTGTATTCTTTTCCCTAAGAGAGTTCATCATTGACCCATGTTGGGGAGTGAGCTGAAACAATAAATACATTAGCTGATGCTGCAGCAAGCAAGGTGTTTGTTCTCTTCTCCTGAATATTTTGCCAGACAGGGATTGACAGCTCATCTGTTGCAGCTCACTGCCTCCAAGTTGATATGTGGGACAGCAATGGTGTGGGCTTCTAAAGGAAGCCGTCTTCTGGTTCTTCAGGGAGGATTGTATTTAGAGGCTTTAATTTTGCCAGCTGGTCAAGGACAGGAGTCCGAGGGTACGTGCGCACTGCAATAAAAGACCCACAGCCTGGCTGTCGCTGGCCTGGGGCAACTGAGTCGGGCTCATGGGGCTTGGGCTGCAGGGCTATAAAGTTGCAGTGGAGACGTTCAGGCTTGGGCTGGAGCTTGAGCTCTGGGACCTTCCCCCCTTTGCAGGATCCTAGAGCCTGGGCTTCAGCAGGTTTTCAGCCCCGGAGCCCGAGCCCTGTGAGTCCAAGTCATGACCTGGACCAACCAGGGTTTTTTTATCTCTGTGTAGACATACCCTTAGAGCCCAGACTCCAGCCTAAGTCCAGACCTCTACACTGCTCTTTTAGCCCCGCAGCCTGAGCCTGAGCCCGTTGATCCGGGCTCTTATACTTGGTACTGTGGGTTTTTTATCGCTGTGTAGACGTACCAAATGAGGCTGGAGTGGACACTGGAGAAGGGGTAAAGAGTTATTTAATTCTCAGAGCTATGGCGCATTCATTCATTGGAAGGCAGTGTACGATTCTGGCTAGGGGATAAATCAAACACCGCGACTGTAAAGGCTTTCAGCCCCTCTTTGCTTCTCACGTGTGCATTATGCTAGTGCTGCCTTGTTCTGTCCATCCAGCCCACGGATGACATCGTCCTCATGGCACAAGCCCTGGAGAAGATTTTTCTGCAGAAAGTAGCCCAGATGCCCCAGGAGGAAGTTGAGTTATTACCACCGGTCCCTAAAGGCAAAGGTCGCAAGCCAGCAGCGGGGGCACAGAGTGCAGGTACCGACCTGACCAGATGGCAATCCATGTTGCAAGCCCATTGCTGATTCCTGACCCACTTCCACCCTGCCTGAGGAGACACACAATTAGGAGGGTAGGAAAGGAGTGTAGTCTAATGGTCAGAGCAGTTGAATGAGATTCAGGACATGTGGCTCCTGCTTGTCTATCTATTTAAGGTGCTTATGGGGTGCCCATCACCCTAGTATCTGACCGCCTGACAGTCTTTTAATGTATTTATCCTCATAGCAGGCCTGTGAGGGAGGACACTGCTATTATCTCCAGAGCACAGAGAGACTAAGGGCCAGATCTCTAAAGGCATTTAGGTTCCTGACTCCCACTGAAATCACAGGGGTGAAAAACACGGGTTTGCACTGATTTAACGAAATGGGAGCAAGTTTCTGTTAGACGAAATCTGCTTGTGGCTTTGGGCAAGTCAGTTTGCCTTTTGTGCCTCAAGTTCCACATATGTCAACTAAGGCACCATGCGTCCTTTAAAGGTGCTGTAGAAGTGCAAAGGATTATGTCATTAATCAACAATAGAACAGTGCTGGGATTTTTAAAAAAAACCAAAACATTTTTGCACCTTATATTAAAATGCAGCTACCTCTGTGGGATAGATTACCGCCGCCCTATAACAGGAATGGCAGCATGGTGTAGCATATAATGCACTAGAGACCTGGGTTCTGTTCCCCGTTCCGCTTGTCATTTGCGGCATAACCATGGACAAGTCACCTGAACTTTCTCTATGAAGAGGTTTGAGGTCTATGGATTTAAAGTGCAATATAAGTGGGCCTGGGTGAGGCTTTTGGGGTGAAAAATGCAGATCTGGCAACACGGAAATGTTTTGTGAATTCCTGTTAGCTTTGCCGAGAAGTTTGGTTGGAAAAAAAACAAAATAAACAAATACTGAATGATGCAAACATTTCATTTTGACATTTTTGAAATGAACCATTTTGATGTTCCGGTTTGGGGTGACTCTCTTTGTTCAAAATTTTCTTTTATTTAAAAATATATATATATATATTTTAAAATGGTTGAAATGGAAACAAACTGTTTCATTCGACCTGACATGAATTTTTTGTCAACTTTTCAATTCACCAATAAATTTGAAAATTTTTCTTTTCCGTTTGAACCAAAATGGACATTTTTAAAAAAAATTTCAGGATTGCCAGTGACCTGAAAAATCTGTTTTTTGCTCAGCCCCGTAGTCTAGTGGTATTTATTATTAACTGTGCAGAGCAGTAGCAAAGGCCGATTGAACCCCGTGGAGGTTTTCCTGCTGTGAACAGTTCAGCGTCCTTTCTAGAGAATCTACTCCCTTCCCTACCCTTCCATCGGTCTCCTTCTTTGCTGAGCACAGGCTAGTTCTGAGAGAGGCTGGAAGGGAAAATAGAAACTGTCCCATAACCATGCAGCTGACAGTCCAGGCTTGGAGCAGTTTGCTCACATAAGGGCATCCAGACACTGCAGAGAGAGCGGAAAGGTCCAGACGGTCATTGCTGTAGAGTCCAGAGGCAACAGCTTCTCTTGGTCAAGCTAGCTGAGCGGCTGTCGAATGGGCCATGTCACATGTGTTTAATTGTATCGTTTTAAAGGAGCGCAGCAAGCAGCAGCCGTGTCCTCTGTCTCCCCGCCAGCCCCTTTCCAGAGCGTCCCTCCAGCTGTCTCCCAGACACCCGTTATCGCCGCCACGCCTGTGCCAACCATCACCGCAAACGTCCCGCCTGTAACTGCACCTCCTGCTGCCGCTGCCCCTCCTCCTGCTGCTCCAATTATGACCGTGGTTCCTCCCACGCCACCTGTCGTCAAGGTAAACAAAGCAACCAACCATCTTTCTCTTTGCCGCGCCGCATTTTTAGACGGGCAACCGCTGGTCAGAAACGTGCGTTATTTCCCTTCGCATTTGACTTTTCAGCTCCACAGGTATCACCGCCAGTTAGCCAGCGATGAGGCTGCATGAACGTAAAGGCCTCTGAGGGCCCGGACCCCACCTAAGAACTCCCTGCTCTCACCAGTTGTCCCATAGATTTTGGTAGGACGGCTGCTTTCGGGTTTGCAAGAGCAGGCCCAACAAATGCACAGCTCCATTTTCTTTTCAAACGGGCCGAGAGTAAATCAGGAAGGGCCCGATCCTGCATTCCTGACGCCAGGGCAGTCAGTGGGAGCACTCCAGCTGCAAGGTACTGAAAGCAGCTTTATGCTTTGAGAACCTGAGAAATACCAGCAGGACCAGCAAGTTCTGTCTTTCTTACTGATTGTATTCTGCAACCAATTGTACGCCGGTATTTTACAATTTAATTTGCTAATTTAATTTCCCAGTCAATTAAATTACGACCCCGAGCAGCTGCTGGCTGAATACCACTTTATTTTAAAAGGAAAAAAAACTGGATAAAAGCGTTAATCTAGTGACACAAGATATTTTCTTTTTTTCTGCTGGAAATTTAACATTAAAACAGGGATGTTAACAGTGCTGTGTAGAGAATAGCGAGCCCTGGACAGGAACACGGGATATGGGTTCTAATCCCAGTTTTGTCCCTGGCTTGCTGTGGGAGACCTTGGCCAAATCACATCCCCTTTCTGTGCCTCAGTTTTCCCATCTGTAGAATGGGGATAATGATCTTGACCTCCTCCGTGTAAAAGCACTTTGAGATCTACAGATAAAAAGTGCTAGATAAGAGCTAGATACTACTATTTATGTCATGGTGGCACCCAGAGGTCATAATCGGGTTCGGAACCCTATTGTGCTAGACATTCTGCAAACATAAATAAGTCCTAATACCGTAAATGGCATGACTATAATTTAAATCCTCTTCACACGTTCCTGCCAAAGGGGACATTGCCACTTCAGAGCTATCTGTACCATAAATTTACAGATTCGCGCCACAAGGTGAGATGAGGTTGCATCTGTTAATAATTATGGAGCTTATTGTTTTGGATTTTCTTTTTTATTTCCCACAGAATTAACCCTTGAATTTGCGAGTTTGTAGCCCAGATCTTCTGCCAGCTAAACCCACACTGCACAGAAGTCTCTTTCGTTCCAGATGCACTCTCTGCACAAATAACTCATTTCCTAGTCACCCATATATTTTAAGTGCATATTAAAGAGGCTAGTAAAAACTGAGTTTTGCAAGTAAACACTGCAAAATTATCTCTACTTGGAATCACAATTTTTCCCCAGCTTTCCATGGAAAGCAAGTTTTTCAGAGGCAAAAGACCTTCCCTGGAGAAGTTGGGAGGGGTTTGGTAGGGAGAATCACAATTTAGGGATTTATATGCACTGGATATATTTTATTTCCTTGGGGCCAGACTGTGAAACTCTTAATCCCATTCATAAGCAGTTACCTGCCTGAGTTGTTCCATTGACTACAGTGGGACTTCTCACAAGAGTAATGGCTCAGCAGGGTGAGCAATCATGTGAGTGACATTTGTCAGTTCACAATGGAGGACTCGATCCTGCAGATCTTTAACAGGGCAGATTCTCCTTGGTCGTGTGACTAGCCCCCTTGACTTGTTGCTCCCCTCGGGCCCGATTCTCTCCTCACATCAGTAATACTCAGGGACAACTCCTGTTGCAGTCAATGGAGCTACAGCAGTGTCAGTAAGAGGAGAATCAGGCTATGTGGCAGGAATCGGTTGTGCCGGCAGAGCAGGATCAGGCCCCGAAGTGGCCCTTGCCAGCACAGTCTGCAGGCAGGGCCTGTATTCCCGACCACCCGTTCTTTGTTTCAGAAAAAGGGAGTGAAGCGAAAAGCAGACACGACCACGCCCACCACCTCGGCCATCACTGCCAGCCGGAGCGAGTCGCCCACCCCGCTGTCAGACCCCAAGCAGGCGAAAGTCGTTGCTCGCCGAGAGAGCGGCGGCCGGCCAATCAAGCCACCAAAGAAAGACCTCGAAGACGGGGAGGTCCCCCAGCACGCGGGGAAGAAGGGCAAACTTTCTGAGCACCTCAAGTACTGTGACAGCATCCTGAAGGAGATGCTCTCTAAGAAACACGCGGCCTATGCATGGCCCTTTTACAAGCCTGTCGATGCCGAGGCCTTGGAATTACATGACTATCATGATATTATCAAACACCCCATGGATCTCAGTACTGTGAAAGTACGTCCACATTTACCACCTCTTTTGCAGGGTGTCTTAGCTCTCTGGTTGCAAATATAAGAGGGGCGACCGCTCTTGCAGTGGGTCGGTTCTTGGTGGGTGGGGTGGAAAATTGACCGGATGTGTGGACCATTCAGATTTTTTTTTTTCTATTTTGTTTCCCTTTTTCCATGTCCTGGAATGTTCCCCTGTACCCTGTATTCCACACTGTGCAGTGACAACAGCTCCCTGAGCAGATAGTCCGGCTATCTAAACAAACGCCCCCTTGACAGCGTTGTGCTCTGAACACAGGATGTGCGGTATTTCGTAGGGTTCGATCCATAGAACCCCATGTACAGCAGTCACTGCCTTCCCATCAGTTGTTGGTGTGGCGTGGGCTCTGGATGGTCTTTGTGTGACGCCAGGTGGGACCTGATTATCACCTGTTCACGCCGCAGTGGTAGATGTTACAAATATAGCCGCGTTGCTAGCTAGCAGTGGTTCACGGCTGCCTCGTAGAGAAGCAGGTATTTCAACTTAGCTTACCTTGGTTTCAACTTCAGGGTGCTTTTCTTTTGGGGCGGGGAGGTTTCCCTCCATCCGCAGGGCTCCATGTTGCCCCCCACGTTCTGCTGCTCAATTGGCCATAGGAATCTTTGTTGGTTGAAATGAGACTTTTCCGTCCACAGGCAAGAGAAGAAGATGCTCCTGCTAGCTTTTACTTTTTATGGTGAGGACTTAAACCTGCTCCCCTTAAAGCCAATGTGTGGGATTTCCAAAAATGCCTAAGTGACTTAAGAGACCCAGTGCTCCTCAGTCACCATCCTTTTTCTGAGTGCTCCTAAGTCGCTTAGGTGCTTTGGAAAATCCCACCCACTACTTATATGCACTACAGTAATGGTCCAAAAGATCTTCCAAGTGATGCTACGGTGTTTGGGACTACGGCACTATACTTTTTTAAGGGAGGGGATTTTGTCAGCATGAGCTACTGCATGAAGCCTGAGGTTAGGAGCCAATAATTCATGAGTTCTAATCCCACCTGTAAGAACCTGACCTTGGGAAAGTCATTTCACCTATCTGTGCCTCATTATCTCCATCTGTAAAATGGGGATAATAATATTTCCCTACCTCACAGGGGTGTTGCGAGGACTGATGTTTGTAAGGCACTATGTATGTGCTAAGTATCGTTATCGGGAATGTTTACCCCACCCAGGGCCGGCTCTCTGCTGGCCGAGATGCTGCAAGCAGCCACTTGTGGAGTGATGACTCAAAAACCATCCTTACTCTAAGCTTGCCTTTGCCCTCACTCTGTAAACCCGAGCCATCCCAGTGCTCAGGATTTCGTTTTAGATTTGCCACTGAGCCAAGCCGAGCTAACAGCCTCCAGCGACTTCCGGGGAGGAGAAAAGGAAAGACGCCTGGGTGAGTTGAGTTTGCGCGAGCGCTGGGCATACAGCAGAGAAGGGATTCTGGTGTAGGCGAGAGACGGGGGAACTGGTGGCAGAGCCCTGGTGCGCTGGCTGGGTCCAGGCTGAGAGAGTGGGAGAACGGCTTCAGTGGCTCTTGGTGTACATCTTGTTTCTTGGGAGGCAGAGCAGCGTGGAGTAGGCAGGCAGGAGGAAGAGCCGCATGGAATAGGATTTGTAGGAGGAGGAGACCAGAGCGGATCAATTCCGGGACTCTGGGAGACTGAAAGACTTTTCTGCCTGTATCTTCTGTAGTGCTGATGGAGAGGAGGGCGAGAGTGTTTTCTTGACTCGTTTTCCTTTTCTCTTGGGGGCAGGAGGTGGCGGGGAGAGAGGCGTCCTCCATGTCCTCACTGGAGGGCTGAGGTCCCCCTTGCATTTCAGCCCTAAGATGCAGCTGCCACCTTGCTATCTTTGGGTGACCAGCAGTGGCGGCTCCTCTAGGATGCATGGGGTGGGCAGTGTCCTGTTTGCATTGCCATGCCCTATCCCCTGCCCTTCAGATTTGCTTTGTGGATTCCCATGGAGGCCCACTGGGTTCCAGGTGGCCATGAGGCTCCATCCACATGGATGAGATCACAGAACCTTATCCACCGCCAGAAAATCTATGCTCAGCTTCGTGTGTCCATTTTCCCCACTCACTTCCAGATGTCAGCAGCTCCAGTACTGACTAGGAGCCCAATCCTGCTGCCATCAAAGCCTTAAGCGGAACTCTCACTGATTTCAGAGAGAGCAGGGTCAGACCATGGAGGGGACTTTCAAGCTTACTAGTGCTCCCCATTAGATCATTTTGGAGCAGTTCCTTCCTCCTGCCTCGAGCAGCTTGGCTGTCTGCCTTGGTAGCACTCTCAGTCATGGAAGTTTTAATCTAGCATAGATTGACTGTGATTCTTATTGTTTACACAGTAAGGACGGCGATCAATTGCTCTCCATGTCCACTGAAGTCGTACAAGAACTAATCAGCTTAGTTTGCAGCAAGGGAGATTTAGGTTAGATATTAGGAAAAACTTTCTAACAGTAAGGATAGTTAAGCACTGTAACAGGTTACCAAGGGAGGTTGTGGAATCCCCATCATGGGAGGTTTTTAAGAACAGGTTAGACCAACATCTGTCAGGGATGGTTTAGTTTACTTGGACCTGCCTTAGTCCCAGGGACTGGACTAGATGACCTCTTCAGGCCTCTCCCAGCTCTACATCTATATGACTCTGTTAGATTGACATTCCTGCCTCGATCCTTGCTCTGCAATGGAACTGGAATACATATAGGAAGAAGACACACCTGAAATGTTTACAAACCAAACAATCCGTTTGTCTCAATAGTGGAGAATTTACAGTGTTTCAGAGTAACAGCCGTGTTAGTCTGTATTCACAAAAAGAAAAGGAGTACTTGTGGCACCTTAGAGACTAACCAATTTATTTCACGAAAGCTCATGCTGAAATAAATTGGTTAGTCTCTAAGGTGCCACAAGTACTCCTTTTCAATTTACAGTGTAAAGCCCCAATCCTGCAAACGCTTATGCAGATGAGTAATCCCATCAACTTCATGGGAGTTAATCATGGGTAAAGTTACCTGCTTAAGTGTTTGCAGGATGTGGGCTATAAGACAGACAGATAGGATACCCTGGGGAGGGACATACCTGGCTTAAAGCATGATCCTGTTAATTCTTTTGCACATGTAATTTTATTGACAAGAGGCATCCCATTAAGGCTGCTGGTACTGCTCACCGTAGGTGCTGGAACTAGGGGTGCTGCACCCCCTGGCTTGAAGTGGTTTCCATTATATACAGGGTTTACAGTTTGGTTCAATGGCTCTCAGGACCCCCACTGTACAAATTGTTCCAGCACCCCTGCTGCTCACGTGAGTAAATTTGCTGGGGTGTATAAGCGTTTGCGGGATATGGCTATTAGATTGTAGGGTTTTATTATTATTCCTTTCACATGGCTCCCTTTTCCTTTCATATGAAATATTGCTGACGGTGATGAGGTGTTAGAGTTAATCATCTGGAATTGAGAAATCTAGACGAGGCCCTAATTTTTAAGATGACTCCTAACAAAGTCTCTAATTCTACGATTAGATACCTGTGGATGCAATTGGGTGGGTTCATGCACTTGCAGTTATTTACGCCCACAGTTACTGCATGCACACAATTCCAAATCCAGCCCTGAATATCTGTAAAGATCTCTGATTTCTTTAATGGGGTTTTGAAGGATATTTGTTCGAAAGTTGACTGTCCCTATCCCAGTCCCTACCTTACCCCAGTACAGACTCCCAATTTGGTAATATGATTTTTTGGAATTATAAATAAAATCTTCTCTAGCTGTCTTGCATAGGTGCTGGACCTATGGGTGCTGGGGGTGCTGCCGCATCCCGTGGCTTGAAGCGGTTTCCATCATATACAGGTTTTACAGCTTGATTCAGTGGCTCTCAGCACCCCCACTGTACAAATTGTTCCAGCACCTCTGCTGTCTTGTGCTAAGAACAGTCAGTAAATTACCAATGGCCAGATCCTTCTTGGCTATCTCACTCGAGTAGTGCATTGACTTCAGTGGACTATTTATGGGCCCAATCTTGGAAGGTACCAAGTGCATTCAACTTTCTTGATGTCATTGGAAGCCAAAGGTGCAGAGGGCATTTCCAGAGATGCATAGCACCTTGCAAGATCAAGTCCCAAGTGAGTAAGGCAAGTGGAATTTCCCCCCCTAAGATATAGATCTAAGGAATGAAATCCTGGTCTTACTGAAGTCAATGGCATGGCCCCGTTGACTTCAGTGAGGCCAGGGTTTTCCCAAACGATCCATGGAAGCAAGATGCTTGAGATGAGTTCTGGGCTATTATCCATGTTTTTAAGAAAAACAGACCTACTTGAGGACACTGTGGTTTCTTTGGCCGGCACTAATTCACATTCAGGGTCCTCGCCATTGTCTTTCAGTGCATGCTTTTATGGATCTCAAATTCTTGATTGTAATGTATAAAACACGTGGACCTCTGACTGCATTGTCTATGCAACTGACGCTCTCCTCCCATTTGCAGTCTGTACTTTATTAGTACAGTAGGGAAGGTTGGAGAATGGTGAACCCTGCAGAGTCTTTTATAGATAAAGACTCTGGAACTGCCTTTTGCGGGGAAGCACTTTTCTTAAGAAATTGTCTTTGAAGTGCTGTCTGGGATTATTTTCTTCTGAACTGTTTTACTGTTGCTGTCACTTTTGGCTTGTTGAGACTTTTTCATAAGTGACCATAGCATGATTTAATTGAGACAGGCCTTATATAGTGTAACGTTAACAAAATGTTCCAGCTCTTATAGCAGAAGTGCCTGAGGGCTTTGTTTATGGATCTGAAGGTCCCAGGTTCAATTCTTTAGTGATGATCATCGTGCTGGTACATGGAGTGCAGCCACAGTCCCTTGAGCTGATGCTGAATGCTTTATGCAGAAATTACCTCTTTAGCAACTAGAATATATGGGATTGTGTGTGCCTGTCACTCCTGCTCCCTGGATGTGTGAGGGTTGATTTTGCAGAGTTAATATGTCATGTCTCGGTAGGTATTTGTCTAAGGCCCTGCAGTGAATTGTGAAGCAGTAGGTATATCTCAGATGGTTTGGAGGGTACTTTCTGACTGTGTTTGTACCAGTGAGGTGGGCTGGGCTGGTTGCCAGGACTGTCTCCAGAAAAGGAGAGATGATGAGGAAATACAACTGATCTGATTCTGGCTGGCCGGCTGACAGAGAAAGGATCTTTAGGGCAGAGTGGGAATGTGTATGAAGGTGGTGCTGCAGGGTAGAGTGGATCAGACAGAATGGGAAGAGCTGAGGGAATTGTAGGGCTCTCCTCTCTGATTCCTGGCATAAGGGATTGGCAGAGGTTTCTACTATTAATGAGCTTGTGCCCATGTAAATTCCCGGAGCATCACAGAGCAAAACAGGTGCTATAGAGTGTGTAATTAGTTCATGGTCATCAGAGAGTGGAACTGTTTGGTGGAGTGGCGAGCAGGAATGATACATATTGAGGGGGTTCTGGAGGACACTAGATCAGTGAAAGAGGATGGATTGAATTGTAACACCTCTGTGGCTGCTGCAGGTTATTTGGTAATTACACTTGAATAGGTTACAAATAATTGCCATGGAGCCTGGACTCAGGACTAACCCTTTGCGCTTCCCGTAGCTGTATCCAAGGACAAACATTAATCCACTCTCTTCACAGCGCTGCGGCATCATCCCTGTTTTCCAGATGGGGAGACTGAGGCACAGGGAGTTGAAACGTTATGCCTAAGGTCACCCAGTGCGAGAGCTGGGAATGGAACCCAGAGCACCTGACTCCCAGCCCTGTGCACTGGCCGTTAGGTCTCTCTTTGTCACTGAGGAGACAGAAATATGGATGTGTTTGCCCTTTATTTACCTCAGAGGACACAAGTAACCATACTCAGCATTGCTGTGTAAGAGGATTTGTTTAGTGCTGCTTTCAGAATAAACCACTGGTCTCCAGGGAGTTAAACGTGCAAGTCTGTGAATTTTCTTGTAGCAAACTGCTGTGGTTTCGGAGCAGCCCAGTTCAGGGTTTTAAAGCAGGGGGACATTTTTTTTTCAGGGAGTTATAAAGATTTCTTTAGTTGCAGCTGTTCCAGGGGATAATTTCCTCTAGGTTTAAAATAACTAACCTACGAGTTCATGTAACTTCCGGGCGGGTTGTGAAGAGTCCTGGACTGAATCCCAGCTGATGTAAATTGGCACAACATGATGGAAGGCATCGGAGCAACCCTGATTTACCCCCACTGAGGGTCTGCTCTCTTGTCCCTGAACCACACAGCAGGGGCACCAGGGTCTCACGTCATGAAATTACTAATTTAAAAGACTCCGTAAGCCCTAGGGCTGGGCTTTCTGAAGGGAATCAGTGCAAGTTGGGTGCCTCGGGTGTTCCACACTGCAGTCGGAGGTGTGATAGCAGCATGCGTAGCCATGCCCGAGCTAGTTTTGATCTAGCTGGCTCATGTACCGATAGCAGGGTAGCTGCAGAAGCACAGGGTTAAACATGCCTGGGACCCTGGGCAATTACCTGGGCAGCTAGCCTGCGCAGAAATCCTGCTGCCATGGCACACAAACGAGGTGAATAAAAGCTAGCTCAGGTATAGCGACAGGTGCTGCATTCACACCTGATTGCAGCAGAGCCATACCCTAAGTCTTTCCCTTCCCCTCTCTCACCAGACTCTCATTCTGACTTGCAATTGCAAACATACCTCCTCTACTCGTGGCTAAGCAGCTCGGCAAGTCAAGAACCCAAAGGCATTTCATGCAGCTGTTTGAAGTCCATATTCTCGGTCTTTCCTGAGTGAACTTTCTTTAAAAAAAAAAAAAAATTAAAGGAAAAATCCAGTGATCAAAAGGCCCTGGAGTTAGAAAACCTTTCCTTTTGGATGCAACCGAAGCCTCACGCACTGATGTGTGTGTCATAGGCAATAATCAGCCATTGGGCATGCTAAACAAACACAAGATCCTCAAAAATGCCTTTCAAGCAGGAAGGCATATCTTACAGTAACAGGGCTCTTTAGTTTTAATGTATTGTTTTGCTTTGGAATTGGCCAGGAATGTTTTTCATACAAGGCCAAACTGTTCTTGATCTGTAGGAGCACAAATCTGTCTCTCCCCTCCCCTCTTCCTCCCCGGTCCTGCAGCTCAAAGGCATTCTCTGGCTTATTGAATCCCCCCAAACGGGATCTTGTCTCACAGCCATGTCTGTCAGGCTTTCTAGTCACAGTGTGAAGCGCTAGTGTAGTAAGGTCGCTGCTCTGAATGCAGATTTCCTACCAAAATTAGTTCGGTATGGATGAAATTCACATCTGTGTAGATTGCCAGCACAAGAACTATCTGCCACTGAAGTCCCACTTGAGCCCTTTTGAGTTAATTACAAGGCTCATTCCATAGCCCTTAGGCATGTGTATCTCCCAATGAAGTGAATGGGAATTCTGTATGCATTAGGATCAAATATTGGGGCCTTTATGACTTAAGTGATACATACGCTTTCCACTGGCCCTTTGCACAGGGGTGAATTTTACCATACCAAGCCTGCAGTCCCTCTGCATGCAAAACCCTCCTCCCTTCAAAGAGAGATACAGGTGCAGAGAGCTGCAGAATGGAGGCTTTTAACCATTCAGCAAATGCAGCATTTCTGTACGGTAGATATAAATCAAGCCTCCGCTGTTAGATTTTACACATTCTGTAAAAGCAATTGCTGTGCACCTACAAATCTCACCGTAAGTCTATCAGAATGAAGTCATGCAATAAAATATCCCACTGCACTACAATTAAACTGGACTTTAAGGCTGAGTACTGAAGAGTAAAAAATTGCTCCAAGACTGCTGCAATTTTTCTCTAAACAAGCATTACAAACCCAGGGAGTTCAGCGTTAAGGTTAAACGGAAAAGGAATGGGTGAACGTTGAGGCTGGAAAAATTCGAACTGGAAATAGGGTGCAATATTTTTACCCTGTAACAATTAGCTCATGCAGCGAGGGTAATTAGTGATTGGGACAGCTTCCCAAGGGCTGCGATAGAGCCTCCGTCACTTGGAGTCATTAAGTCAGGATGGGATGGCTTTCTAAAAGACAGATTCTAGCTCAAGTTCTGTTGGACTCGATTCAGGAATCACTGAGTGGAATTTTCTGGCTTGGGTTTTGCGGGATGTCAGGTTAGATGACCCTAGTGGTCTCTCCTGGCCTTAAAATCTATAAATCTACGAGGGGAGGAAAAAATCCCAACAAGTTAAGGTATGGGATTGCACATTTAATGCACCCAAACAACTGTAACTTTGTCCTCTGATGACCCTAGCTTCCATTGTTCCTTTCTCTGTTCTTTTCTTAGTTAGCGTCCCATCCTGCAAACGCTTGCTCATCCCATTAATGTTTTGCAGCAGCTACCCTTGACATTGTGCTATCTATTATCTAGGATCAAGGACCCGAAGTAGAGTTTTAAGGAGCAGACCTGTGTGCCAGTCTCAGCCGGTTTACATCACCACTCTCTCAGCTTCAACGGCGGGGCGGTGATACGCACCCACTGAGGATCTTGCCCTTTAAAGTTTGGAAACCCGGTGGAATTGGGCAGAGACAGGGACTCTGACCGAAGAGACACCGGGAAGGGTGACCCCTCAGTGCGCTCCCTCTTTGACAGCACACTGGAATTTTATTCCCTCTTTTGGCAGAGGCAGAGTTCCGTCTTTTTTCCGGAACCCTCGTTTCTAGTAGAAAATGAACTCTTGCAAACTTTCATAGACTGTCAGTGTAAACAGAACTTCTTGGAATATTATCATTAAAATCACTGTGATACAACAGTCAGAGGATTCGATTTATTTAAGATATTATCTGAAGCCTAGATGTCATTTATCCATTTGAATTAAGCAAGCTAGACCAACCGGCTGCTATCTTAGGCTAACAGGTTTTTAGTGACTCTGAGCTCTCTTTCGTCTGTGCAGTTGCTATGAAAGCATTTTGCTTATGGCTCTTTTCCCCTCCCTCCCTCCCCCTTTGGCTTATTTGTTTGCAGAAAAAAATGGACAGCCGGGAATACCAGGACGCACAAGGTTTTGCAGCGGATATTCGGTTAATGTTCTCTAATTGTTACAAGTACAATCCCCCAGACCACGAAGTTGTAGCCATGGCCAGGAAACTCCAGGTAAAGATGTTGGCAAATGCGTCTTTCAGAGAGTACATTTTAGTTCCCCCTTAAGAGGAGCCTCCTAGGTTCTGCGCGCGCACAGCTCCTCTTGGTCTCAATCCAGGAGGGTCCTTGACTTCCCTGGTATTTGGAAGGGGCATTAGATGCCCTGTGCTGTACCCTGTTCTTCACATGGTGTGACTCAAAGCTGAACCCTCTGCTCAAAGTATGGCCTAATCATTGCTTCGCAAGGTGATAGGCGAGCGACCTTGGGTTTACATAGCGCACCCCTCTGAATGCCTCACTGAAGAGGCGGGAGAAATTGTGCAGTCTGACAACTATGCTAGCAATGTACCATCCTAAAGCCAACTTCCAAGGCTGTTGCAGCAGATATTCTCACGCTCGCAAACCAGAGGTGCTGTTAGTGTCAGTACTGGCAGGGTTTTTTCTGAACTGGACGGAGGAGCTAAATCCTAGGGCGGGAGTCTAACCAAGCAGCGGAGCAGCAAGTAAGCAGTTACGAGGAAAGCAAATGCACAGGGAATTGCCAGACTCGATCAGACCCAGGGTCCATCTAGCTCAGTGTCTGGTCTCTGTCAGTAGTCAGTTCCAGATACTTCAGAGGAATGTGTAAGAATCTCACAGCAGGGATATATCTGATAATCGGTCCCCCACAAGCAGGTCTCAGATGATTTCACAAAGAGAGATTAAAATGCGATCCAACTCCTGTTGAGAGTCTTTCCATTGACTTCCAAGGAGCTGGGATCCACCTCTTATGACTTTAGACCTTAAACTGTCTGGGGCAAAGAATGCTTTCTAGTTACTTCTCTGTACTGCACAATTGAGCAGGGTTCCTAGCATGATCTTAAAAGATGCAGAATGAGGTCTTTGTGGCTGAGGCATCTTTGTCGCCCTGAATCCAACAACCTCTGCAGGACGTTTTCGAGATGAGATTTGCAAAGATGCCAGACGAGCCCGTGGAGCCCCCGCCCCCACCTCCTCCGACGGCGCCGGTCGTCAGCAAAAGCACGGAAAGCAGCCACAGCAGCGAGGAGAGTTCGTCTGACTCGGACAGCTCCGACTCTGAAGAAGAGCGAGCGACCAGGCTGGCTGAGCTCCAGGAGCAGGTGAGAGGCAGGCCAGCTCTGAGCAGCCTCACCATAGTGAGCGGTGTGTCTGTGCACATGGTGTGCACGTCTACACAATGCATAGTAGAGCTGCACTTGAGGGTATCATTTTGTTGTAAACCACCCCCATCTCCCCCCCAAGGATCCCAAAGCAGTTGGCAAATATGAATGAAACCCCACAGCAGCCCTGGGATAATCTAGGAAAAGATTATCACACCCTTTTTATAGGCAGGGAAACGCAGGCATACGCAAGTGAACTACCTACTCCCTTTGTGACCTTGGGCACATTTCGCTGGGTCTCAGTTCCCTTTGTGTAAAATGGAGTTAATGATACTTCTTTTCTCTCTCCCGTTGGCTGTCTTGGCTGTTTAGGCTGTAAGAGCTACAGGGCAGGGACTGTCTCTTATGTGTACATGCAGCACCAAACACAAGGTGGCTTGGTTAGGGTTTCCAGGTGCCACCAGAACATACCTAAATAATCAAGTGACTTACCCAGCACGTCATTGGCAGATCCAAGAATAGAACCCAACTGTCCTGATGCCCCAGTCCTAACCATTAAATTCCCTACTTTTCCATGAGTGTCTCCATTCAAGAGGTGGCTACTTTTCATTTGCCTAAAGAATGAGAACTAAGTTTTCTCCCGAGGGTCAACTTCTGTGGACCCGTATTTAACCCTTTAAAGAAAGGTTACTAAAAATCAAACAAAGTCTCCCAGCTGAAATCAGTAGACTCAGCCTAATGATTAACTTTAAAAGCTGCTGGTGTAAATGGGAGAGGGGTGAGCACATGTGGGTGGGTGGGTGGATGCTGTCTGTGCCTGGAAGAATGGAGTGTGTTGATAATGGGGCTCAACTCTTCTGTTCTCCCCGCAGCTGAAGGCCGTCCATGAGCAGCTAGCTGCTTTGTCGCAAGCGCCCGTGAACAAACCAAAGAAAAAAAAAGAGAAGAAGGAAAAAGAGAAGAAAAAGAAAGACAAGGAGAAAGAGAAAGAAAAAGAGAAGCACAAAGTGAAAGCCGAGGAGGAGAAGAAACCCAAGGTGTCCCAACCAGCCAAACAGACCCAGCAGAAGAAAGCACCAGCTAAAAAAGCAAACAGCACGACCACAGCTAACAGGTGGGTGTTTGGCATCTTGTCCAGAGTCTTCCTATATGTTAGTCTTTCCCTTCCCTTGCCAGTTTTTTAGAATGAGCTTTCTGTTCTCCATACTAGCCTAGTGATGGGGAATCACATCGGGTAAACGTCTTGGGTGAGAATTTCAAAAGCACTCAGCATTGACCTACTTCTGCGTCTGTTGAAGTCAATGGTGAGGATCCCACTGACTTCAAGGAGAGCAGAGTTAGGCCAGCATTAAGGAAAATTTCAGAACTTTGAAAAAGCTCCAGTTCTGTTCCAGATGGGCAGAGGGTCTGGGTTGGGGTCGGTTACTTTGGGCCAGGTCCCTGTTCCTGTTGAAGTCATTGGGAGTTCTGTCATGGGTTCAGGATCTGGCCCCTTCTTTCCAAGCTGGCTTATCTCTCCCTAATGCAGACACACTGTAAAACGCAAAAAGGGCCCCAACCTGATCCCAGTGAAGTCCAAGTGAAAAATGAGTGTTTCTTCCAGACCTCACCAAACGAAGCCCACCCGAAAGGGTTACATCCACCATCTAGTTCTATGGTGCTGTGATGGGTTGTACCTCTCTGGCACCCTCTTGGAGTGAGGGGTGAGGTGCTTCTCTTGTCTTGGATGTCCTTCTCTGAACGGGGGTATGACGGTCGTCTGGGTTCCAGACTTGGGGTACAACTCTCTGGCTGTGCCCCTGAGGGAGTCTGTTTTCTTCCGGGGCGGGAAGAAGGGAGGTGTTAAAGTAGTCCAAAAGAAAAAAGCCACAATACCTCCACCACCTACGAAAAGGGTCGCGTCCCTGCAGTCTCATGTAGGGTAAAGGCCAATAGTCCTGGGGGGAAGATCTGGGCTCCCTACCCCTTTTGTCCAAACAACCTGGGCTAAGTCCTGGGTCTCTGAGAAGGAATGTAAGGAAAAATCTGGTCCCTCTGTTTCCTCAGGGAGCTCGTTTGGCTGCTGCTCTCGACGAGGTCCCCAGCAGACGGCCCCTGGGGAACTTGTCTGTTCTTGAATGCCTCCCAGCCTGAACCAGGATCCTCCTTTTTAGGGACCTGCCCTTCTCCAGGATTGATAAGCCTCAGGGGTGTAGCAGAGTGGGGCCTATTGAGCCCAGAGGAGCTCTTTAACCCCTTATTGACTGGGCTGGTGCTCTCACAGTCCATAACAACTGCCGACATGCCAGACTGAATTTGTCCTAAATTGTCTTGATGCTAGACGTGGGATGTTAGGCCCCTATCCGGGACTAGCATTCCTGTTCGAGACAGCATTTAAGTACATACTTCAGTCCCACTGACATCGCTGGGTCCTGAACACAGGTCTAACACCAGGTTATGGTTTGCTAACAGTCAACGTTCGTGGTAGAACATTTAGTACAAGGGGAGGAGAAATGAACTCAATACACCAGCGAGTGTGTTTGTGCTTTCGAACCCTCCAGGCAGCCTAAAAAAGGAGGCAAGCAGGCACCTGCACCCTACGACTCTGAGGAGGAGGAGGAGGGCTTGCCCATGACCTATGATGAGAAGCGGCAGCTCAGCTTGGACATCAACCGCCTGCCGGGGGAAAAGCTGGGCCGGGTAGTGCACATCATCCAATCCCGGGAACCTTCCCTCAGGGACTCCAACCCCGATGAGATAGAAATAGATTTTGAAACCTTGAAGCCCACCACTTTACGAGAACTGGAGAGATACGTCAAGTCTTGTTTACAGAAAAAACAAAGGAAACCATTTTGTAAGTTACCTCATGGCTCATGAGTTCCCCATCAGCCCCGCAGCGCGGGAGGCGAGGGGTTGCTCATTAGGACCCGCTTCTTATCAAACTCTCTTTCCAAGTATTGATTACTTGTTGGCAATCTGACGGTGATTTTTTTAAAAGGCCTCTTTCCCCCAGTGGAAATGTCCAAGATCCTCCTCTTTAATCTGTTTCTGCCCTCCCCAAAATCCTATTCCATGGAAGGCTGAAGGTTCCAAGCTCCCCGGGACGGCGCTCCTTCCCTCCAGAATCTGTGAGGGGCTTATTGTTGTTTGTATTCTGATAGCGTCTAGAAAGCACTACCAAAATCCAGGCCTCCTTGTGCTTGGTGCTGTGCATACACCTAGAAGGATACGTTCCCTGATGTGAAGAGCACATAATCTAAATAGACAAGACAAAGGGTGGGGAACCAACACTGAGAGATGAAGTGACTTGCCCGAAGTCACACGCAGAGTCTGTGGCAAAGCCAGGAATTGAGCCCTGATATCCTGAGTTGTGTCTTAACTGTAAGACTGTCCTTCCTTGATGGGTGGTCTCTGCTTTGTCCCCAACCCCTCACCTCCGGGAGCAAAGACTCAAATGTAGCAGATAACCATGATCCCTGCATAGTAGCCCATTTTGCTGCCACATGACTTCCAGAGAGCTCTAAGCAAACTTATTTTTTTCCGACATCTTGATATGTTTTTTTTTTCTTTTTAATGTACAGTAGAACCTCAGAGTTACAAACACCAGAGTTATGAACTGACCAATCAACCACACACCTCCTTTGGAACTGGAAGTACACAATCAGGCATCAGCAGAGATGGGGAAAAAAATGCAAACACAGTACAGTACTGTGTTAAACATAAACTACTAAAAAAATAAAGGGAAAGCAGCATCTTTCTACTGCATACTAAGTTTCAAAGCTTAAGTCACTGTTCAGTTGTAATATTTTGAGGGAACAGCCATAAGGTTTTGTTCAGAGTTACGAACAACCTCCATTCCCAAGGTGTTCGCAACTCTGAGGTTCTACTGTATCAGCTGGATTTTGACTGAATCCCTTTACTGCTGTAACAATTCAGAGACTCTCCAGAACAATTATGTATGACAGAGCGTTTTATTTTTGCAACCAAAGCCTGTGTTAACATGGAAAACCTCAGAGTATCATTAGTGCAGGTGTGTGAAGTTTGCATACCCTGCACCGATGAACAGGGCTTTGTCTGAACTGCAGTGACAATATCAACACCATGGAATATAACTAAACTTTTCTGCCACATTCTGCTTATTGCAATGTTTAGCTTTCAGAGGGTACTCTGTGTAAGTTTTTGGTGGGAGGGTTTTGGTTTATCATTACTTCAAAATAATACCGCGGAATTTAGGTATTTCGTCCCAGGATCAAGCCAATGGACCATCTGTCCTGTTTCTGATAGTGGCCAACATCTGATGTGCAACAGTCGAAAGTATACAATACTGTTCTGTGGGGGAATATTTCTTCCTCACCTCAGCTAGCATTAATTTATGATCTGAAGCATGAGGATTGTTGATACCTTTTAACGTATTAATCCTAGCTAATGCAAATACATTCTTGCCATCTGCTATTTTTGCCTGTGTCAGTTGCGGTTCTCTTTTTTTTTTAAGCAACAAAACAGCTGAATTTTTGCATGAAAAATCTAGATCTTGATGGCAAATGCCTGATCTGACAACCTTTAATGGGACACTTTGTTTTACAGGGCAGAAAACCCATGTAACAATTCTTTAATTACAATGTAACTATTGACCATATAAGTGGCTGGTAAGTAACCTGTAACTACAAGGTTATTACATGGATATTTCTATCTTCTAAAATAGTTACCAAGAGATCTTAAAACAAAAAAAAAACATGTAAAGGGTGATTGTTATCTGAGAGTCTATGCGACTTTTTGTGTTGTCCTCTGTAGGGATGTGTAATTGCTATGTGGTCACATGATCTTCGCAGTGTAACTACAGAGCAGTTGCATAGTTGTGTGTGCCCTGTAAAATAGTGATGTCCACTTTTTTTTCCCCCCAACCATGCAGTCTCAGAAATTGTGCGTTCCTCCTCCACAGCTGCAAGTGGGAAAAAGCAAGCAGCAAAATCTAAAGAAGAGTTAGCTCAGGAAAAGAAGAAAGAGTTAGAAAAACGGTTACAGGATGTCAGCGGGCAGCTAAACAACAACAAGAAACCTGCAAAAAAAGGTAACTGGCCCCACTTAATTGGCTATGTGTAGTGAGGTTTCACTGCTGAATAGTCCTGGGCCAAATCAATTACTATACAGAGACATATATATGTGGAGAGAGAGAATCAATTAATATGTGGAGCTAAGTTTTAGACTGATGCGTCTACGTAAAAAAAATAATAAAATACAGATGTGTCACAATTCCCATTACCAGCAAAACTATTAGTCTTTATTAACTTGGGCTTGTCTACATGAGTAAGTTGCATCAGTTTAACTTAGGGTATGCTTTTAAAGTGAGTTAGTTAAAGCAGGTTGTGTGGACAGTCTTATTTCGGTTTAAACCAAGCTTATTCCGATTTAGCTTATGTCCATTAGGAATCAGTTAAGGCTTACAAGTAGCTTCACTCTCCAGCCGCATTGGGGCTGATTTGTCCTCGGCATATGACACTGTGTGGAGACAGGGCCTCCTCCTCGATCTCCTGCATCGTTCACTGCCAGCGAACAATCCATCTCTTGGCGGCGATGGCTGGGGACCGCTGCTTTAAGCTACACCTTAATAGCCAGATCAGTAGACCAAGAACTCTTAACTCGGGCATCCCTCAGGGCTCCGTCCCGGCACAGATCTATACACTGTGGATATACCAGCGACGGAAATTCATGAATGTGGGTGACGTTGCTCTAGCTGTTCCACACACAAGCCTTCATACCATCAGCTGTGGGTGCTGGTGCCATCCAGTTGAAACCAACCTGAGATTCAAGTTGTATTTATCGTGGGTTGTTTGGTTTGGGGTTTTTTCAGTGAACATTTGCTATAAAATAATTGGCCACCTAAAAAGCTTACTACCCGGGCAGTTCCACTTTAAGGCCTTCTCCAATTTTCCAGAGGTTTCGGATGTTGCCCCAGCTATCGGATTGTACCATACCAGCCCATAGACTGCTCAACCCAAGGGTGGGGAGAGTGTAGGGAGGGGTTTATATGAATAACTCTTTCATAGTTCAGATACCTTCCAAATAAATGATGCACAATCTACTTCCCTCTAGAAAAGTCCAGCTCTGCTCCATCCGGAGGCCCTTCCCGTCTCAGCAGCAGCAGCTCCTCAGAATCCGGAAGCAGCAGCTCAAGCGGATCCAGTTCGGACAGCAGCGATTCGGAATAAACTACAGACACTTAAAAAAAAAAAAAAAAAAAAAAAAAAGGACAACATACACACCAATACTCTGCAGTGTTCCCTTCTATGGTTAATATACTACTCTTGTTCCATGGTGGTCAGGTTTTTCTCTCTCTCTCTCTCTCTCTCTTATTTTTTCAATTTTTTTAAAAAATTCAGTGTTATAAAATATCTTCCAATTTTTTTCTTTGCTTTTAATAGGTCAAAGATCTTTTTTGTGTGTGCGTGTGACTAGACTTTATGATAAGTAGTTCACTTTGCGTAAAGTCTCTAAATTTTTTTAACTGAAGATGGTTGCTTGGATGTGACAAGAGCTTTGAACTCTTAACAAGAGATCCATAGAAAAATCTGCAAGGTGTAGTATACAGTTTTTTGGGTTTTTTTTTTTTTCCAAAGTTCCCTTTTAATACACCCAACCTGGCTCACTACGACGCAAGGAAAAAAATTTTTTAAAAAGAAATCTCTGTAAAATGGTACTGTATCTGAAAGATGTTAGCTTTTGAACTAGTTGGTGTATTTGTTATTAGCACTAGTATTCTTAATCTCCAAGTCTACAGTGTGATGAAAATGTCAGATGCTATCATCTTTTTACATAAAAAGACAAAAACAAAAACTCATGTACTGTGGATTGTTAAAATGTATCCTTTTTGGGGGGAGGGGGGATAGAGGCATAGGCTCCAATTCAGGAAGGTACTTAAGCATGTGCTTGACTTTAAGCATGTGAGCAGTAGAGCTGGTCAGGCCCCCCCCGCCCTGCCGTGAAAATTTTGACTTTTTGTTGAAAAAATAAAACACGTTCAGGCTTTCAACAAAAATCAACAATTTTTTGAGGAAAATCAACACTTTGTGTCAATGAAAACCTCCAATTCCCCATCAAAAAATTTTCAACCACCCTAATGAGCCAGACCCCCGGACGTCAAGGAGACAACCCACATGCTCAAAATCAGATATGTGCTCCAAGTACCTTCCCAGATCAGAGGCTCTAGACGGGTCGGGGATAAAGTGGGCACTGTAGTTTCGGCCCAGGCCACGTCACCAATGGAATGGGGCAGGGAGGTGGAATGTTTTTTATCCTATCTTTATATCAGCAAGGAGCTCCCAGGAGGGAACGCTACATCTGTGTCTCGCAGGGTGCAGGTTTCCAAACACTGAAACTTTTACCTCAAGAAAAAAAAGAAGTGGGGGTGTGGGGGAGGGGGGGGGGGGAGGACGGAAAACCAGAAAAAAAAAAAGACTTTTTTTCCCCCCGTAAGGCTCCGCAATTTTCTATGAGAGTCCAGCCTAACATTTAAACCTGCACTGCTGCAACACGTACATCATTGCCACTGTCCCTAATTTCATGTATATATAAATACTTTATTTATTAACACCATTGGTCATTTGAAACATTAAGAAACCTGCATTGTGAAGAACAGCAGAAATGCAGAGGGGTTTTTTAAATGGTTCGAACCAGCCTAAAAAAATAAATAAATCTGAGACCTTATTTAAATGTATTGGACTTTTTACCGACAGGTGCTACGGTCCATTATTTCCTGTGTCGGTGTTCTATCACGGTTTGTGTACTCAGTTTGTTTCTTCTTTTCTCCTGCTTTTTTTGTACAGAATTTGGAGACTTACAGGTATAGATGACTTCCCGATGCTGCACATTTCCCTTTTCTCTTATTTGTAATTTTTCCACAGATCTTTCTCTCTCTCTCTGTTTTTGTTTTGTTTTGTTTTTTTAATCCAGTTTTAGGAAAACCCCAGTTCTGTAATATGAACTTTGTAATCTGGGGGGGCAGAAATGTATAGTAAATTGAATTCTTGATTTTTTAAAAAAAACTTTTTATTGTAAAGAAAAAAAAATATACAGAGTTTAACAGAAGTTATGCTTTTCCATATCCCAGCCCCCAGTTCCCTGAGGCTACCTTGTTGCCTCGAACATGGACAGCCTTGACATTTGCCCTGCTGAGGCCCATATTAGCAGACTGCCAAGAGCCTTTGGGCTGCACCTTACCCTCATAAAGTGGTGCAGGTTGCAGCTGTCCTCATTTTATAATAGAGGGGTATGGCCTATGAGGACTGCAAATCCCAGCATGCAATGTTCCCAGCAAGTTTAGCTTCCAAAGAGCTAGAAAGGAAACTTTGCATGCTGGGACATGTGGTCCCAGTAGGCCACACCTCTTTTTTGAAAGTGAGGGAATCTATGGGACCTGTTGCTAGAACACCATGGCTTGCACTTTTGGGCATCTTTGCGCTAAAATGTTCATTTTGGTGCAAATGTTACTGTATCCAGGCTCAATTGTCACTCACTTAATTCCCATGTAACCACATTTTATTGGACAGACTTTCAGAGGATAGACTCTTGGAGATTAAATAGGTGGCTTACCCTTGCATCTGTCTATCAACTACATCATCGTCCCCTCAGTCAGCATTTCAGGAAAGCTGGTGAGGTATTCCGACGTGACCGTCATGCAGCTGAAGCGGCTCTGTGTACGTGTCTTAATGACAAAACCAGCAGCAGTAGTCCACAGAATCTGCCAAAGCCCCAGGAAGCATTATCCTCTTGTGCTATAGGAATGGAGCCTGATTCTGTAAGACACTGAATGCCTCCTATAGGCTGCTGAAGAGCCTCTAGTCGCTTTGAAATCAATGGGCTATTCAGCCATTCTGCAGGAGGTGCTCAGGGCCTTGCAGAATTGGGGCCTAAAGCATTTGCAAGGAATGGATGAATGAGGGTCTCCAGCATCTTACTGAAATTAACAATTTACCTTTTTCATTAAACTGAGGTTCATTTTAGTTCCTATATTTTTTTAAACACTGCCCTTCGTTGTTTAAAAAAAAAAAAAAAAAAAATCTTCTCCCCCAAACAGATCCTTAGTAATATATTTTTAAAAGTTACTGTGAGGAAATGTAATATACATCTAATTAGAGCTTACGGTGGGTTTTTTTGTTTTTGTTTAATTCTTTTTGAAGGGTGGGTTTGCCTCTTTGCTTTTTTGTTTTTGTTTTAACCTTTAATGCGTGTTAAATGAAACTGAGGATTATTTGGTTTTAAATAGATCTGAGCAATTCAATGCCAATCTGGAAAAAATCCTGAGAAATAAGCTATTTCCTTCATACTGAAATCCTCCCCCACGTGCATCTGGGTTACATCTATTAAATTAATATGAAATTCACTCAGGGACGTAGTCATTGGTGGCAATTTATGCAAGCTGATGATCTTTCCCGGAGTCTTTACATCAAGTAAATAAAAAGAAGTTTGATACTTGTAAGAAAATGGGGGTAAAAAAAACAAACAAACACCCACAGCAGAAAAGAGAAGAATGTGCATGTCCCTAATCAACTAGTGTCAGTATATCATTTAAAAGCTTTATCAAATGATCATAGGCTAAGGCTATTTCTTGTCTCGCCATAAGGCCTAGACTCCTGTGGAAGCTGAGGAATATCAGACTCCCAGGGATCAGGCCCTAGTTCACCTAGAAGACAAATGTGTTGGTTAAAACTTTTTCACTGAATAGATACAGTTGACGCAAAACAAATTCAGTTTTTTTATTGCTGTGATTTTAAACTTTCCTATAAACAGGGTTTGAAATTGTAGAACTGATTTCCATTCAGAATGTAAAAAGATGTATAACCAGTTACTACTTTTTTACACACACACACGCATGCATTCAAATAGTACTCGGGTTGTGGCCTCGTTCCATGTTCTCTGGTTGGTGGAATCAGACTACAGTTACCTAATTTAATTTTCTCTATTTTTTTTTCTACTTTTGGGACTCTTAGACCAGTTTTTAATTTGTTTCCTTTTTTTAAATGATGTTTTTTACCGCTAGGGTTGGGGCTTGACCAAAAAATACCCAACTTTTTAGTAATGGATTTTAAAAATACATGTTCTAAAACACAAGCAATTCGCATTATGGTGCAATTATGGTGCAATTGTGGGCAGGCTGTGAGTTATACGAGATTAATACAGGGCAGGAGGAGGTCATTACATTAGCAGCATTATCCTCCTTGTAAAATGGTTAGATGCATTTTTTAAAAATGGTATTTACATATCTTTTTAAAAAATCATTTTTTAAAAATAAATAAAACAACCCACCAGCTAGGATTTGACACGGGCCTTTTAGAGCTTACGCCCCGATAACTGGCATAACAATTCCAAAACAATTTGTTGTTGTACATTTTGTTCTTTTTCCTTTTTTTTAAATATTTAAAACAAATGTTACTTTTCTGTATGATGTGCATGCAAATTTACCGTAACTCTTTTTCTTAAGACTTTTTAGTGCCATTTCTAGTATATTCCTGTAAATGTCAGTTACTGAAGAATGAGTCAATGTAACTAGTTTTAGCTTGTTTATTGCAAATGCTGGCCTCGACACAACAAAATTAAAAAAAAAAAAGTTAGAAAGTAATCTTTGATGTTACTGGTAATCATGGACCCCTCTCCTGGGGCATTTGTTTTGTTTTCATAATAAAAAAGAAAAAATGTCTGCTTGTGTGAAGTTTTATACGTTGCTTGTTTCCTTCCTTCCCTCTGGATCTTCACCATGGTTGAAATCATATGAGATCCTGACTCAGCAAAGCACTTAAGCAGTATTGCCAAACCTCAGAAATCATGAATTGAGACCCTCAAAATCATGGACCTGGCTTAAAAAAATCACAGGAGTTTTTAAAAATAATAACTTTGCATTTGTTTTATTTGCCCTCTGGGCTTTGAGCCTTTAGGGTTGCATCTGCTCATGATTTCAAGCTTTTCTCTGCAACCCTGAGGGTGAGAAACTTACCTTTTATAATAAATGAAAATTGAGATTTTCTCAGAATCGCATGACTCCAGATGCTGGAGCGTTAAGTAAAACCTCCAATGTCATGAAGTTGTGAGATTGAAAATGCCGAAGTTTAAGCATGTACTGTAAAAGATGTTTTATCCGGCACTTCAACCGGAAAGCTCTATAAACCGGCATTTCTGATCTTCATTGAAATTCCGGTTTATAGTCCAGTTAGCAAGGGGCCGGCAGGGGTTTGGGGCATGGGAGGGGGTGCAGGGCGTGGGCTCTGGGAGGGAGTTTGGGTGCAGGAGGGAACTTGGGGTGTGGGAGGGGGTGCAGGGTGCCGGATCTGGGGGGCACTCACCTTGCGTGGCTCCCCAAGAGCAGCAACCTGTCCAGGCTACTCCTAGGCGGAGGTGCGGCGGGTGGCTCTGCACACTGCCCCCGCCCCAAGCTTTAGCTTCGCAGCTCCCATTGGCTGGGAACCATGCCTGTGGTCAGAGGCAGCACGCAGAGCCACTGCCACAGCTCTACAGGTTGCCGTTTGGGGGAGCCGCCCGAGGAGAGTGCCCGCCAGATCTGGCACCCCGAGCCCCCTTTCTGCACCCAAATTCCCTCCCATAGCCTGTGCCCCGCACCCCCTTCCATGTCCCAATCCCCAGCCCCGCACCCCCCCACACACCCAAACTCCCTCCCTCTTAGTTAACCGGCATTTTTCACTTACCGGCAGCCCCCATTCCCTCAACGTGCTGGATAAAACAGCTTTTACTGAACTTAACTTCATTTCTATTCAGCCAAGTACTTATGTCTCTGCTTAATTTCAAGTGCATGCATAAATCCAAGTGTGGTTGGCGCTTTGATGAATAGGGATGTGTTCAAGGCTTTAAATATTTCAGTATGGTCAAAGTGGTATAATCCCCCTAGTGTGGACATAGTGAGACAGATATAAATGTGCTTATACTCTTACAGCTTTTCCTGTACAAGCAAGAGAATAAGTTATACCAGTATAAGGCACCTGTACCCCAGGTTAACTGTGTTCACACTTGGGGATTGTACTGGATAACTATATTGGTTAAAAAAAGAATCACACTGGTACAAAAACTATGTAGACCAGGCCTCAAGTGCTTTGCTGACTCAGGGCCATAGTGCTGGAGTGATCTAGGCTATTGCTTCCATGGTTTCCCCAACTAATGGTTCAGGATTTATTTTTCAGCAACCGTCCCGCTTTAGGCCCTAATCCTGCAACTGGATCCATGTGGATGGACCCTTACCACTGAAATCGATGCATGGAGTGTGGTTCTATTTGCAGGATTGGGGGCATAGGTAAGGTACAGCATAGTTCTGAAAAGGATCTGGGGGGAGGGGCATTGGTTTGTCCCCTTTTAAATGATACATAAAGAAAGCCTTGGATGTGGTAGATTGGTTTGGTTGAAATGGTTTGTTGTTGTTGTTGTTTTGTTTTTTTACGTCAGAAATTCAGGTCTTGTCTGCCCTGTTTTTCTGGAAGACTCCATGGATGACCGGCGAACTAGGGGGATACGACATCATGGTCACCAAGGAGATGGAAACTGATTTACTGAGAAGGGAACTGATTTTTATTCAGATTCTTTTTAAAACTTTGCTTTTTGTCGACAGCTCTTTCCTCAAATGTCTAACGGACGACTCTCTTGGTTAAACATTCCTCACCTTCGGGACCCAACCCTTTGATGTAGGACTTGGAAACCTCCCGATATGTTTCTCCGGCGCTTCCAAAGAGAGCTCCAGGGAAAAAAAGGGAAGAAAATACTTGGTTTGCCTAATATTTGCATGACTGCCCTTTGTGCTCCAGGAGAGAAGTCCTGGCCACAATGAAGTCAATAGCAAAACTCCCATTGATTTCAATAGGGTCAGGGCTTCATCCCAGGTGCATGAGCGCTTGGATTCCAGCTGTCACCTGCACCATCTGTATCCACTAGCTGGCTCTTCATGACTAAATCTGGTACACTCGGGCTGAGTCCTCACTGCCAAAAAAGGTGGGTTTTTAAGAGCAAGGTCGCTAACACTTATTAGCTACCTTGCTGTAAAATCCTAGTGGAAACAAGGCGCAGACAGTTTTTACGGTGGGGTAGGTGGGTGAGGTTAATGTTATGCTCCCCACCTGAGGGATCTTGGCTAAGCTACATCGCCATAACAACTACAGAGCATAAGGCATAGACAAGGTTAAGCCATTCTGACAATGTACTGGGCACGGGCACCCATCTTCAGTGAGTCAGAGGGGGGTGAAGGACCTGAGGTCAAATGAGAATCGGGTCTGTTATCCTGACATGGGAAGTGCTATATTAAAAGAGGGAAGCTGAGGAATTTCACCCTGGTTTAACAGCTGGTTAAGCACCAGTTAATTACTTTGAACTGGCCAAAACCAAGGACAGTTGGCCCAGTCTGTCTTGTGAGCCAGCAAAAGGCACAAGAGAGGTAAGTTTTAATAATAATAACCTGTAAGAGGCACAATGAGCACCACTGGGCGTAGTCAGGGGGTTAATTAAAAGCTGGACAAATTGGTATTGGAAACCTTGGAGCTACTTTCAAGTGGCTAAGATTGTGGTTTGCCTGTGAGAGGCAACTCAGTCAGATTTGGCTATGTACACATTTTTCTGCCATGTGCTGGCTATTTTAGGTCTTATTTTCAGGCACTATATACCCCACGGATGGGTAGCTGAGCCCCAAAAGGGTTTGCTCCTGTGTCCCCATCCCCTTCAAAAATAATAAGAATAGCTGTACTGGGTCAGACCAATGGTCCATCTAGCCCAGCATGCTGTCTACTGAAAGTGGCTGGGACCAGATGCTTCAGAGAGAATGAACAGAACAGGGCAATTTTTCAGGATCCATCCCCTGTCGTCCATTCTCAACTTCTGTCAGTCACATGCTTTGGGACACCCAGAGCCACGAGCCATCCCTAAATGACAACATTAAAAATTATGTGACATTTACTCTCTTCCTATGATTCTATTCAGTAGTTGTTTTATTATTGTTAATAATAAAACTCTCTCTCTTCTGGTGCAGGAGAGCTACCTCCACAGGATGTGGTGTCCCAGAGAAGGCAAAGTCTGCCCCGAGCCACAGATGGCTCATCAGGCTGATGTGGTTTACGGTGTGTCATTTTCCATCCAACCACTTTTGACTTCCCCAACCCTATGGATTCCGGTACCTATTCTGCAGCTGAGTAAACTGGAGGCAGCTTTTCAGTGTGAAACTGAGCTAGACTTGAACACATGACCTGCTGGATTGTCATAACGCACCTTGACCTCTTTGCCACTGCACCTCAAGCTGGCCAAGCAGAAATCTCAAGTAGGAATAGAGATGTTATTTTACCTCTGTATTTGGCTCTGCTGTGACTGCTGCTGGATACTGTGTCCAGATCTGGTGTCCACAATTCAAGAAGGCTATTGATAAATTGGAGCGGGTTCAGAGAAGAGCCATGAGAATGATTAAAGGATCAGAAAACATGCTTTATCAGTGATAGACGCATGGAGCTCAAGCTATTTAGCTTAACAAAGAGAAGATTAAAGGGAACTTGATCAGTCTATAAGTACCTACATGGGGAACAAATATTTGATAATGGGCTCTTCAATCTAGCAGAGAAAGATAGAACACGATTCAATAGCTAGAAGTTAAAGCTAGAGAAATTCAGACTGTAAAAAATTTTTTAACAGAGAGGGTAAGTAGGTGTCAGAATAATTTACCAAGGTCATAGTGGATTCCCCATTACTGGCTATTTTTAAATTGTGAGGGACCGGGATGTGGGCAGTTGTGCCTAGTCGTAGGAGCTGGAGCCCAGGATCAGCCTGGGAGTAGGAGGCCAGATGTCAGAGCCGGAGTCAGGAATCGGAGCTGAAGGTCAGAGCTGGGTTGCCTGTAGTGAGACACGGCTGGTTCCAAGACAGCAGAGGGGCTGGGAACAAGCAGGCGCCATTGTAGCAAACGCTTTGAGCAGCCAGCACCCTGCTACTGCTGCTGGTCTTAAGAGCAAGAGTGCTGATCCCCTCAGCCAATCAGGGGGCTCCACTGAGGACTAGCTGCACTTTTTAGACTGCCTGGGGGTTTAGCTAGAAGGTAAGCAGGCCTCTGTGGGTCTTTACTGGACATAACTCAAGATTGGATGTTTTTTCTGAATGATCTGCTCTGGGAATTATTCCGGGAAGTTCTCTGGCCTGTGTTATACAGGTCAGACCAGAAGATCACAGTGGTCCCTTCTGGCTTGGAATCTATGAAGGGACGGATAACATATGGCTCCCAGTCAGCTCAGTGGACTCGCTTTGACACCTTCTCCGTAGCCCTTCATGCACACGAGAAGCAGCTATAGCAGGGGTACTCGTCAAATCCCATCTCAAGCTCCCCGGGAAGAGTTCACAAAACCTCTGGGCTGTTGAATCAAGAACGAAGACTGAGCAGCTGTGCCAACAACACTGTCCTGCAGACTCCAGCCTCACCCACAGCGAGCTAACCACAGGTAAACGCGGCTGCAGATTTCTGTTCTGTGAGACTCACCCTTATGTTAAGGAATAGGGGGCAATCAGACCACCGCTAATTAATACAATCCCAAATTGGGTGTATCTGCATAAATATCTACCTGCCCCATACCTTGCCTGGGTCAGCATTTTGAGCTGTAATACAGATAATAATCAGGCGTGCTAAGGCAGTGAACGTGGAAAAGAAAAAACAGTTGGTACAGATGACACATTCAGACC